GATCATTGGTTAATTTAAAATTACTATGGTGAATACTAATGATGAGAACAAAAGTCTAATATTTTTAAGCTCATTACCTAGATTCTTTGAGAATTTCAAGGATGCCCTTATTTATAGTAAGAAGGTATTATCACCTTGAATGAAATCCATGCGATTATAAGGTGTAAGAGCTATCAAAGATGAAATATTTGAAGGCTGGTGATAGTGGTGAAATATTGCATGTCTCAAAAGGATGGAGTCAAAATAGAGAAAAACAAAAGAGGAAGAGAGCCAAGTTAAATTTAAATATTTTTTATAAACAGAAGTTAAAAATTTTCATTTGTCATAAAACCAATCAAGAAGGATTATTTCGAAAGGGGAACAGGGGTGATTCTTTTCATACCGCAATATCCTTATACAAGGATGATTATGAAAGTTTTGGTGCAATACCGGTGAATATTTGGGAGACATAAGAGAGTTGGGTCATGGACTCATAATGATCTTATTACATGTGCTTAAGGAAATAATACTTTGAGGCTTTAGAATTGAAAGAAGGCGGAGTTGTGTGAAATGGTGACGTTAAAGCTAGAAACATTCATGGTATTGGTACAACCATACTTAAAATGTTTGAAGACTATAAATTCCTTATACGATGTGTGAGGTATGCTCCTGCCCTTAAGTGAAATTTTTTGTCTATAAGAATTTTCACAGATATTGGCTATTACACTAGAATTGAAAATGAGGTGTTGAAATTTTTGTATGGTGCAATGATTATGGCTAAATGGTATAAACTTTGCGGGTTGTAAATTTTGGAATAATCCAATGTTATTGGTCATGAATCATTAGCTAGTCATGACTTTCATGATAAAACCCAACTACAGTATTAGGGATAAGGGCATGTCCATAAAAGAGGTTTGGTTGAGCTAACAAAGTAAGGTCTTTTGGGAAGTGAAAAATCTAATAAAATAAAATTTTATGATCATTACATATTAGTAAAACAACATAGGGTGAAGTTTGGGAGTGACATGAGTAGTTCTAGTGATCGTATGAGTATGTTCACTTGGATCTTTGGGTCTGACAAGGAAATCAAATTATGAGGGTGATTTATGTTTCCTCACAATCATTTATGATTGACTAGAAAAATATTGGTCTACATATTGAAAAATAAAAGTGATACCTTTGAAAATATAAAGGAATGACGTACTTTCATAGGAAATAAGTAGGGAACTAAATTGAATGAGAATTGACAATGCATGTAGTTTGTTTCAAATCACTCTAATGAGTTTGAGAGGAAACATTGTATAAAAAGGCATATAATTATTTCTAATAAACCTCAATGAAATGTTTTAGATGAACACATGGATAATACCATTTTGGAGAAGTAACGTGCATATTATTGGGAGCTAGGTTATGAAAAATTTAATGGGAAAAGTTGTTGCTTTAGAAGCTTATTTGGTAAAAATATATCCATTGATGGGACTAGACTTCAAGACACCTATTGATATTTGGAATAGGAAACTAGTAGACTACTCCAATTAGAATATTTTTGGAGATTTAGAGTTTGATCATATCAAGCAAGACAAGATTGATATTTAGGTCTTGTAGTGTGTTTTGATCATATCAAGCACGACTTTGTGAGAAGTAATTATGATAATTATGTATACATATTGAATAGGAATGAAAAATGTATTCTCTACCTTCTTCTATATGTTGATGATATCTTAATGACAAACTCTATCAAGGTAGTTAACGCCAAGCTCAAAGAGACTTTGAATCGTAAATTTTATATGAAGGATCTTAGTAAAACTAAGAGGATTTTAGGGGTGTATATCATGAGAAACCGGAAAGGATTGAATTGTTCTTATATAAATTTAATTATTTGAGGAAAGTGGTGGAATGGTTCAGAATGCTAGATGCAAAATTTTTAACACTATTTTGGATCACCATACAAAGCTTTGAGTCATGTAATATCCTTAAATCGAGAAAGATAAAAAGATAGAGGAGAGTACTTCTTATGCTAGTGGAGTGGGAATCATCGTGTATGATATGGTTTATATTAGAACAAACTAAGCATGTGTAGTTTATTATTGTAAGTTGATTTATGACAACTCCTGACTAGGTTTATTGAACTTGAGACTTCACACATAAGAGGGGATGAATTGTGTGGTTTGGGAAAACGTTGGTTTGAAAACTTTTCCTAAAATATATCAGAGTTTAATTTTTTTTGGTAAGACTTAGCAGCGGCATATAAATACATATCAAAATAAATTGCATAAATAAAAGAGTTAAGGGAAAAAGAAGAACGCCAAGAGTTATGAAGGTTTGGTCAAAATAAAAGACACACCCCCTCCCCAAGAATTGATCTTGAGACTTTCCATTATATACTGGAGAGATTTTAGTAAGTAAAGCTCACGAACCCCCTTATACATGGAAATGGTGGTTGTCCTACAACTAAAATATTACAAGATGGAAGATATGATCGTTTTCGTCTTCTCCATTGAAATTGTTGAGACTGGAGTGACCAAGCTTTCTTCCCAAATGTAGATTAAAGCGATTAGTCTTCTCTCCACAAAATAACTGAGCTCAAATTGGTTTAACAAGATAACCAATAACCTCTTCGAATTTTAACAGGTTGATCTTCTAACCTATGGTTTTAAACAACCTAACCATGAACTAATGGTAAGTTCATCAATATTGATGATCTTTAACCTTTAAACGAATAAGGCTCACTAAAAGCCAAAGGTAAGTTCATTAATATTGACGATCTTCAACCTAAAATAAATATAGAAATTAATCACACAATCCCCAACCAAAGCTTGTAACATGTTTAGCTTCTAACCACATATTTTTATCCCTAAATGGATTATGTTCATCCAAGATACATAAACAACATTCTTGTAGAACTTATATAATGCTACCCATCCAGAATTACAAGAACACCTTACTCACAAAAGATCTTACCTCACAAAAGCATTTGGTTATAAGAACTAGTAATAGAAAGTTAAAATAAAAACTTAGAGAGAGAGAGCGAGTGTGTGAGTATCAATACACAAATAATTTTTTGGATGATATGAAAAAAGGAATGAGACCTCTATTTATAGGCTTGAAATTACCCAAAATAGGAAATAGCATTAAAGTCAAAATGATCGTTGTTAATCGATTA